CCCAGAAAGGGAATTTTGAACAACCGCCGTATGGACAAAGCCCAACAATTCCCGTGTATCTCCACATGTATCCCAACTCAGACCCCAAAGGTCTTGAAGGGGTTTGGGTTTAGGGTCCAGGGTTTAGGGTTCATGGTTTAGGGTACTCAGGTTACTTGGCAGAATACGCAGAACTCGACACGGGTTATCATCGGGAATCGTGTTTGTATAGGGGATCTACGACCTTCTTAGGACTTGCCATGGGTCTGGGTAGGGTTCCCAGGGTACGTTGTTTCGAGATGTTGTTAGAACTGACACCTGGATGGTCATGGTACTTGGCAGCTAAGGTTTTTTTTATCATCGTGGTATAATCTGACGCGCATAGTCCCTGGAAGTGGCCTTGGGTAGGTTACTCCTGTCATTCTTAGGATTATAGCCCAGATATCTGCCAGTACTCGGTCCCATGAACCTGCAAGCGTTCCCTGAACCCTAAACCCCAAGCCCTAAGTCCGGAAAAAAAATAAAACCCTAATCCTAAACCCCCTTAATCCCTCAGAACCCTAAAAGCCCTAAAGACCCACCAAAATCCTAAACACTTAATCCCCCAAAACCCTAAAACGCCCTAAAGACCCTAAACTGTGGCAGGCAATAGCCGAGAAAAGCCAAGGCCAAGACCGATCAATCTTGAGGCACCGCATTTTGGGGAGCTTTCTCAAACAGGGGGGGTCCTAAAGGGTGGGGGGCCTTTTTAGGGTTTCGGGTTTAGGGCCGGGTTTAGGGTCTAGAGGGTTTTTTGGGGGTTTGCACGTTTAGGGGGCTTGAGGTTTAGAGAGTGGTATGGGGTTAAGCGGGTAGAAGGACATTCGTCTGTTTTGAACTTTGGGGTCCAAGGTTTAGGGCGTTTAGGGTTTCGGGACATAGTCCCTGAACCCTAAACCCTTAACCGAGCCTAGGGTTTCTGACCATTGGGCTTCTCATTAGAGACCCTCGTTTTATATGTTGAAATTGTAAGGGAAGATGGAGGTCCTTATAATCATGGTTCCACGTGGTTTAGGGCATAGGGTTTATACTACCACCCCCTGGGTTTGCCCCTTAATTCAGGTTATTTCGGAATGATTAAGTTTCGAAAGGCCAGCTAAGGGGGAACCTATGGGGGGTAGCATATGGAGGGTAGTCAGGGAACCCGTGACATAAAGGGTTGAATAGAGGTTGTTTTGAGAAAGAACCAAATCAGGCAATAGGGTGAAGCGGCTGAGGGTTTAGGGGTTTCAGGGTTCAGGATTCAGTTTGTTTTTTGGAATTGGGGTGTACGGTTTAGGTGTTTGGGGCTTATGGGTGTGGAATTTCAGGATGATGGGGTTGAGGGTGTGAAAGGGTGGAATATTTCCCAACATTTGGAGCATCATAATGCACCGTATGGAATAGTAAGCCCTAAGCCCTGAAGTGAACCCTTAACCGCGAGTCTGGCTTGGACACCCTAGATGTTGAAGTTTGAATGTACTTAAGGACTCATTGATGGTTTAAGCGGGCGATGTAGTCATAGCCCACATAGTGCAAGAGACTCAGCTTTGTTTATTGATAACCATCAACCATCAAATAGGCCGTTGAGGGTCCAAGTACCGAAATGTTAAAGTTCTAGATACCGCAATCCGTTCAGACTGTAGTATTTGGACCTAAAACCCCATCATTTCGGTACTTGGACCTCCAAGAAATATTTGGATTGCCTTTGCCTTTACCAAAGATGCTGGCGGGGTCTTTCCCTAAGCACCGATTCTGAAATGACAACGAGTTTGGAACTACTGCTGCCATTCCCTGCATCCTGTCTTACAAGTTGCAGCCAGTCATCAACGAACAAGGACATGGCTTTGCATTTTACAACGATTTCAGTATGCACTTCGAAGAACGTGTTTTGGGGAAGATGTCATCAGCTACGATAAGCCTTCTGCCGGCGCGGTCCAAGCCATAAACCCTAAATCCTGGGCCTGACCCCTGAGCTCTAAGCCCTGAACCTTCCAAAACAGTACATGTGCCAGCATATTTGGTACGAAGCCGCGTTTGAAGGGTACATTGGTTACTCTGGGTAGACGTTAAAATTCTCCATAAAAAATCAGGGGTTGGGGGTTTTAGGCTTGAGGGGTCTTAGGGCTGAGGGCAAAGGGCCACAGCTCTGATAAGGGGATTCTTGTTATGTACGCCAGCCCCAAAAATTACGACCCCAAATTAGGTATAGGATAGGTATAGGATTCTTCTTATACGGGTTTGGGTAGCTAAGCACAAATCCCCTTAAATTATGTGGGTCCTTTCTCAAAAAATCACCTATATTAACCTTCATGGGGGCTCTCCATAATCCTCTAAACCTGAATCCCAAGATGTCATTCTATACCCTAGCCATGTTCTACCTGAATTTGTATTTAGGAGACACTAGACATAGAGCTAGGTATCCTTAGCAACGGTTAAGGTATAAGGGGTCTTGCTAGCATCCCGGCACCCCCAACCCCGAAGTTAGAGGAGCTATAACCCAAACTCCTAGAATCTCCCTATCGTACTCACGTATATAAACTCCCAAAAACCCCCTATTAGGGAGTTTAGACTCTAAACCCTGAACCATACCTAGAGGCCCTTTTGATACACTTATTTGTGTCCGGGGGTTTCCTTGCCTCTTCCAATTAGAAAAGGGTCCGTTTCAAATAAAAGCGTCCGTTTAGTTTATGGCACTGGCATTATTTTAGCATACAACACATACATCCAAGGGTAAGCCCAAGCAATAAGCTGGTTGACCTGAACTGAAATGAGCCCCAGTTGGACACGAGCAGAAGTAGCAACGGTCTGGAATTACCCTGAGGCCCATACATCTTGTGGAGGGAACCTGCTTAGTACCTATAAAGCTTCAACCATCAACAAACCTCCACCTGACACCCGAAACCCTACCGGAGCCCTTGGCCCTAAGACTGACCCTAAGCCCAGCCTGCGCGCACGACTCACATCATGCACTCTGGTCGACTATGATTTTTTCAAGCCAGGTGCTCAGACCCGTGCAATCCCGTAAGCTCTGTGCCACTGGCGTCTATATAAGACAAGTGCTCTTTGCAATGTCCTCAAGACTACCGAGAGCTTGTGCATTTTCCTAGAAAGGCGCGCGCAGCGCCCAATAAAATCTTCGTCGCCCCAACACATCCAGGGCTTCACATTTAGTACTGGATCAGAGGGATGCCCATTCTCATCGCGATAATCGAGTTGGTGTTGCACCATAAGTCTTAGTGGGTCTGGGTCAGCCCCAAAAAGGTCGAGCAGGGAAATTGAAACATATAGCACAAAGAAATAAAGGAAACGCAGGCAAGTGGCATCACATGACAGAACATATGCAGTTTCGGCCGTACCCTGTATAGTTTCTGCCCCAGCTTTGCCGCCAAGCTGGATAACGTGGCATAGCCTTCCTTACGATCCCGTAACTTTATGGAATATTTCTCAATTTAAGGTATTGCTTGCCAAAATTATGGCCTAACTACGCCAAGGTACTACTGTGTTCCAGCCATCTGCAACAATAGAGACTGCTTCTGCTCTTGACAACCACATGCCACCCGCGTAGATGGCTCGCCAAAACGAACTGGCCATTACGTGCGTGAACTTCATAACATCCAGAATTTCGCGGAAGCGGTCATCCTATGGGAGTGTTTCTTATAAGAATGTCCTAGTAGGAGTCATGAACCCTAAGCCCATCTATACCTATACCATTAAAAACTCAAAGCTCAGACTTTCGAGAGTAGCCAAATCCTTGCTAATAATTTGCAAGGCTCGACCTTTGCGACATCGAAGTGCTCAAGGAAATCGCTGAGCCAGGCCCCAACGATTGCAGCGTCATGCCCTTTTCCCAAACCCGAAGGAAAATCCTGATACCTTAAGGGACCAGTTTCTGGGTGTGTGCGTGTGGCAGGTTGCATAAAAATTAGCTCTCTGTAAGATTCTGGGGATGAGGTTCAAATAGAGGGTTCCGGATTAATTATTTGCATGACTATCGTTTAGATCAAGCAGGGAACGTTTTGCCACACTTCATGGTCTTGTAGGAGAAATCGTCAATTGACGAATACTTCCCAGCTTTGACCAGGTAGGCTTGGAAAATGTCATAGGCCCGCTTCAAGCATTTGTCCAGGGAACCGTACCCAAATATACCAATTCTGGCACACAGCAAGATAGTGCTAGCAGCGAGGTCCTTACCAATTCCAGCAATTGCCCACGTATGGGCTGGGTCGATTCTAGCAAATTTCGGGTTCTCGCCCATGGGTAACCTTCGAAGGGCTGCCGGTGGCCCAGCCTTGAAGGGCCATGAAGGGTTGTGGTCAGCTGGTAGGTCTTGAATTTCGCCCTTGACATCCCACCAATCCTTACAATGAACAGTTGGGAAAAACATTATATATAGCCACAATTTTCTGACTCGAAAAACTGAAGAACCCTCCATGCGAATCAGAGTCGGCCACATCACAAAGATGGCAAACACGTTTGCAGTTGAATCCAGTCGATAGCCGAAAACAGGATCGCAAGAAAGGCCAGTCTCCTTTGGTCCCTGTATAAATCATCTTGTAGACGAAGGATTTGCCTTTCCACGAAACCTAGCTTGAGGTTATCCCCTTTGGCAAAATTAGTAAACCCCGGCCTAATTAAACACCCCGTGCCCCGCCCAAATGCCACATATTAATGTTGCCCATATATCTATGTGTTAGATTGGGATATATTTGATCGGGACAGGAGGTGCTTGAAATGAATTCTTCCGAAGGGGTAAACCGGCCTAAACCAAAGCTACGTAAGGACTCACTGAATACAGTCTTAATCTGTGATTGGGTACCCAAGAAACAGGAAGACCTTGAGATTGAAGTTGATTCAGGTCAGTCACCAATGAGCTCAATACAGAGTGCAATGTCAAGTCTTTCATGTAGAGCCAACTGGGTATCACAGCCAACAAAAGCCGGGAGCAGAAGGTATGCCTTACCACGAGAAAGTGAGACGGTTTCGGGTAGGTTGGGCTGAATGCCTTAATGGGAATTATAATTTACCCTATAACCCTCAACCCTAAATTAAACCCCAAACCCTAAACCCCACTAGAACTGATGAAATCTGTTGCCGGGACCCGCCCGAGTTTGCGTCGCTCATGTCTGGCAAGGTGATCATCGGCTGGGCACTGATCACCATTATGGGCTTCTTACCAGCGCCCCGGCCTTCATCACCATGCAGGGCGAAGGGTATGCAATATTTCCAGTCATGGGATTCTGCATAGAATGGCAAATCTGGGTGGTAGCATTGAAACCTCCTCCAAAAAAGCTGTAGTGTTTCACCGAAAGCATCTGCTTGGTCCAGGTTCCAGCCACCCATAAGGAAGTGTCCCCCAAGCTTGAAAATGCATCGACACCAATCAGACAGCTGAAGCACCGGATACTGAATCTTAGCCTTCTTTGAGCTTCCTCGCTTGCTCAATCGCACCGGCGCTGTGACTGTGGTAACCTTCACTGGGATCGTATAGCCACTTCTATGTAGAAGAGCATGTAGGTTCTTGCATGCGTGGGAGTCTGATCGATGTTTCCCGCATTGCGCCATATCTCTGAGCGTTGGATCAATGACACCTAGGGGGCCAAGTGGGGAACATGACCTTACATCTACAGGGGCGCAAATACAACTAGATCGATAGCGTATACTATTGCTCCCGGGCATCCGCACATTTTCAATTTATTGTGAGCAACAGTAGCCAGTCGCACCACACGGTTGGCATACTCGGCCTGATAGCGATGGGAAATTGACCAATGACCCTATCAACAACTGTACCTGAAACCGAAAAACAGATTGGGACCTCGATCATATATTATAACCACAAGTTGCTACTATGGGGATACTATAGTTCATATAAAAGTCTTGTTGGGGTGATCAATCAAACGGAATGCGCTAGGAACCTCTACCAATCTAAATGAAAGCCAAGACACACCCTCTTCGAAGCCAATTATTAGTTCATCAGCAAGATCTTCGTCCTCGCTTTTGAGTTTTTTGGAATCGCTTTTAGACTATGCACGTAGATTTTGGGATTGGTTTCAGTTGGTGCGCCTAGACTATGCTCGATGGTTTCTGGGTTGGGGCTACAGTTTTGTGGCCCACATGTTTTATAGAGGCGGGTTCTTAATTAAGTAAGGGCCAGGAGTGTAATCAGAGAATGCGCATGACCCCTGGACTCTGGACCAGCTAAATGTCCCGAATTTGGTGTCGTTTCCATAATAAGACTTGACTCTCCCAAACCCCATACACCCAAAAGCCTTCAACCTAAAAACTAAACCCCTATATCTGAGGTGCCTCTGCATCACGCTGAGGAAATCGGTCGCCTGGTGCGGATTTAGGGTTTAGGGTTTAGGGTTGGGAAACCAGTGGAAAAGGCTTCCATTCTGTTGTGTATCCCACGCAGCCTGATAAGATATGCGAAGCATCTTCTCGAATAGCACCTCCCAAAATGAGGCTGTTGGGGATTCTGTTCGGGGTTTTGTTTAAGTTGGAGCTTGGCAGATTGCATGAAATACAAAGGCGGCGCAGCTTTTCAATCACGTGTCGCAGCAGTTGTAAACCCCCTGGCAGGGCCACTGACGTGCGTTCAGTTTGCCTGGTCATTACCCATCATTCTAAATCACACTTTGTGAAGTAGAGCAGCGCGCTCTAAGATCAAAACAATCAGAGTATGGGCCAGGCCACACTCACCCGGATTTCCTCACACCCAGCTGCTCTTAGGCCCTAGGCTTCTTGCTGGGCTTTTTGGGCGAAACCTTTGGCTTCGGCCGCTTACCCTTTCCTGAGTCACCTGCCAAGGATGCGGGCGGCTCTGGCTTCATCTGCCTGGGCGAGATTTTTGCGGAGAGGCAACGCAGGGTTTCGTAGCTCTGTCAAAAAGGCAGTATATTGGGCATCAACTTGGGATTTGGCCTAGCCCTCACGACGAGGTTGTTCAAGGCCACATCAATTCGCGTACAATCAGAGAAAGCGGCCAGCAAGGCCTTCTCATCTGGCCTGAGCATTATAGATCAAGCAGTTGTAGGATTTTATTGCTCGGGTTGGGGCATGAAGCACTGATTTCAACTTCAGGGGCTGAAGGGTATTACCAATTATAGACACTTCCGTGACCGGCCTTGTCTTGCCCGTGGCAATGGCCGACTGCATCGCCTCCATTTCGTCATACTTCTTCTTAAGCTTGTCGACGTTCGCCTTCATGTTGGCTGCCAACCTTAGGGGTAAGGAGGGGTTTGGGGGAATCAGGGCTCCATGAAATGAGTGAGCTTCCAAGTAGCGATTTGGCTCGCTCGTGCCCCAACTTTGCCAGCTTGTCCTGCAGAGTTTTTTTGCAAACAACACAGGTGAATAGGACGGAAGGAGCTCATGCACTCAGTCCAGCATCGCATCCGAGGAGTCCATTTTGCGTCCAGTGATTTCGATGAAAGCTGGTAGCAAGGAACAGGCTGAGGTGTTCTGCTGGATTGTAGGGAACGTGAGCCTCAAGTCAACCAGGCATGATGTATGCAGAGATTTCAATTAGGCTTGTCCAACAACATCTGTCAACAGGGTTACCTAGCTGAGTGACTTAAAAAGATGAAAGCACAGAGGAAAGCTCTAGACCATACAACCTACACGGAGGTTGAAACCCCGAAGCCCAACTCTGAACTAGGGATAGTGTAACTTATGCCAAGTTACTTGAAGGATCCACCACCCGTTGCAGCCAACTGGGGGTTCTCTGCCTGGCCTGCATCCCCAAGTCTGTCCAGGAGCGAGGAGTTCGAGGCGCCTGCAATGTCCGGCACGTGGGCATCGAAGAGGCTTCCAGCTTCATCCTGCATGGTGTGGTTTAAGGTTTAGGGTTAAGAGTTAAGGTTTAGGGTTTGCATAGGGCATAGGGCTTGGGGTGGAGGTTGACATTTGTTTAGCGCATTGAGTCCTCCATGTCCCAAGCACCTGTTTGCATGCTTTCGTCGCCACTCTCTTCGAGGAACTCGAACGTGTCATTCAATATGAACCGAATTTCTTCCTCACCGTGCACCTCGTTGACCCTTTTGCGTCCAGGTTTCAAATCAGCCCACGCCCATGCGTTAGTTATCATCTTCCTGAGCTGACACACGGGCACGATGACAATCCATGATTACATAATGTGTTCTCAAGCCTGTCAAAATCTGAGTGGGGACTGCTTTGGGGATAGGATAAACCCGGGGATTCGGAGCGCATGCAATGGTGAGAGTCTCATTACCACAGGAAGCATCAACCCAAGTCTAGTGACGTGGCTGAACAGTTAGAGGCTACTGAACGCACACGTAATATATAGATGAGCTGCTTGGTCCAGTGAGCCTCGTTCTCTAGATAGATCTTGCTGTACCAGCCGCCACTCTTTTTGAGCTTGTTCATCTTCAGCTTCCATCGCTCCAGCACGGTTTCAACCGGGCCAAAGCTACCGTGGCGAGCAAGGAGGGTTCGCAGCTTCTCGCCTTATATAGGTATGAGTGGTCTACTTCCGAAGCTAGCAATCCTTGCATTACATCATTCTGCAATAAAGCTACGGCCCGCATCAGACTTCCACAATCTCATAGCCTCCTCACTGCATTTGAGGGTTCCGTCTGCCTTGGGCTGGAAATAGCGATAGCACCTTGGATTTAGACACGCAGGTCCACATGGAAATCAAGGTTTAACCTCGCATCTATGTTGTACACACATGCAGTGACTGAACTTGTTCAGCTAAAGCTCTTCCACCACAGGTTGTCACGCACTGGCTTGGTGGGTCTTGAAGGGGGAACCTCAAAGCCTGCACGGGTACGGGGCGGTGAAGGCGAGTGGGCTCGATCCTCCTCATCTGAGTTGGCACTGGGGCGGATAGCAGAAGGGGCTATGGAAGGTCTTGGGGATGTCAGCATGTGCACAGGTCTGCCTTTCTTGGGCTCCAAAGGGCTATAGGAACTTCCTTTCATGAACTTTGCAGGGTCCTGGGCGTCTTGGGTATAAAAGGATTCAAGCTTGGGCATCACAGAAACACTGGGCCCCTGGAACCTCTGGCCGGGTGGGATGCAATCTTCAACTCGCAGGGTCTCATCATAGCACCCCGCAACATAAGCCCCAGAGGCATCGGCGATGATCGGTGCTCCTCTAGATAGAATGATATGAAGCAGGAATATTTTCAGTGTGTGCCCGCGTGCAAAGATTGGCCCATGAACCCTACTCCTGTCAGGCCAGCTTCAACTGGGGGCGGCGACCGCTCACAAGGCCGACTTGCAGCCAGCTGTTGAGTCAATGCATGAATCTTCGCCCTCGATGCCTTGGATAGTGTTGCCCTGAAAACATGCAATAACTCACATGCTGCACACAGTCTACATGTATAAAGGGCACTTGCAAGCCATTAAGCAGCCAAAGCACTGCAATCAAAGCATCAAGATCCATAGTCGCATCCATAGGATCTTTGCAATTTGTTGCCAAGCGATCCAGGCCCGCAGTCAAGGTGTTGCAGGAGTTCAGGCGGTCGACCGACATGTGTCCCCAAAACCACAGAAACAGATGAAGCTGCCAGCCAGAAACATGCGCT